GGAGTGTCAGGGCCACTAGTGTCCAGGCCGGGAGTGTCCAGGCCGGGAGTGTCCAGGCCACTAGTGTCCAGGCCGGGAGTGTCAGGGCCACTAGTGTCCGGGCCGGGAGTGTCAGGGCCAGCTCACCTTGGCCCCTTGGCCCCTTGGCACAGGCTGGCCCTGGTTTCACAGGATTGCATTCAGTCCAGAGCCGCAGTCTGTGCTCGGTCCTAAAACCTGTTTGAGGCTGGTGAGATGAGTGTGGTGGAGGGGGCCTCCCTTCCCCGTGGGTGAGGCCCGGCTGCTCTCCAGGCACCCAGCACTGCTGCCCCTAGCGGAGGGGCCTCTGAGGAGCCGCACCCACACCCCTCCTTCCCCAGCCTGCTAACTGCTCTTCACCTGCCTGTCCCCACAGCAGACAGACTGGACGGAGCCCTGGCTCGTGGGGCTCCTGGTCTTCCACCTGCTGTGCCTGCTCCTCACCTGCTTCTCCTCTCAGAGGTACAAACTACAGATTGGACATTTCCTGTGCCTAGGTGAGGGACAGAACGGGCTGCTGTGATGTGGTTGGTGTGTGTGTGTGTGTGCGCGTGTGTGCGCACACTTGCATGCATGTGTGTGTGCGCACATGTGCACACTCTACCTCTAGAGTGCATATTTTCACAGGATCCCCAACCCTTCCATTGGTGTTCTGCATGGAAACCAGAGTAGTTTTGGCATTGCATATGAAAAGAGTTTATGGAGAGCGTCCGGTCATACTGGCCAGGGAGGGTGCTGAATGCCAGCTCAGTGAGACAGTGGTTGTCTCTGTACCGATGGGTATTCCTGTAAATGGTTTTACCGGTAAAGGCCCCAAGAATTGAGGGTCAGAGATGCATGGAAACCACAGGTGGATCGTCAGCACAGCCGCAAGGAGCTAAGTGTTCTGTCGTTACTGATACACTAGACAAAAGACAATGAGGTTATCTGGGCCAAACCCGTGGCTTGATTCTGTGGACATTGCAAGATGTGTTTGATAGAAAAAATGCAGCAGCTGATTTCAGGCAACTCAATTGGCACAGAACAGGGATCTGAGCAAGATAAAGACATGAGAGTTGGCAGCACAGACATGTTTATATGCAAATAGGGGTGGGCAGAGTTTCTGTGTCTGTTTCACATGAGTCCTTACCTGTGATGTCCCAGGGAATGCCAGGCTGTAGCAGTGAGAAAAACAGACTTCAACTCAATGGAGCCTTTCCATGATGACCCCAGACCTGATTTCACCCATATCAGCTCCCCTGAGCATTCTGACAGGAAGGCAAAGTGCTGGGTGAAAAGTGTCCTGCAGGGACTGCAGCTGAAGTGCCAGGTGTCCAGGCAGGAGGAGCAGCCAGACAGTGAGAGAGTCCAGGCCTCCAGAGCCAGAAGCCTGGCTCTGGGCTTGGACACAGCTGCTGCCCCCCCCGCCTCCTGCCCCCTTGCCCCCCCCGCCCCCCCGCCTCCCGTGTTCTCTGCACGGTCAGGCAGGGCCTACGTTGGGCAGTCAGCCGTGCAGAGAGCGTGGGCTTTTCTCTCGGATCCCAGCCATGGGCATGTTCTGCCATAGCAGGGCGGTCCCTGGGGCCTGAGGAATCTTGAAGGCTTGTCAGTCTTGTTTTGTTTTTATATTTTGTGTGTATTGTGTAACTTCACAATTTTTTCTAACATGGCTTCTTTCTCCCAGTGGCGTTGGTCTACTGTGCTGAGTATATCAATGAAGTGGCTGCAGTGCACTGGAGGTGAGCTCTCTGTGTCTGGCACAGGAAGCGCGTGCAGAGTGTCAGACTCGGGGAGACGAGGCTGCAAGAAGCACGTTGCGTAAACCCTGCAGCACCTGTGAATCCACTCCTTGAAAAAAACTGTTTTAGAATGACAGCCACTTTTGAATCCTGCCGGTTCTGGTGGTGGTTGAGATAGTTGAGATGGTGTGAGGGAATTCTCTGGTCTACTTTAAAGCGATTTTCATGGGAGAAGGTGGTCCCTGTGAGCCCTGACTACTTGACACAGCCTCCACAGCCACCGCTCCGCCCTCCTGACCAAGTAGCTTTCCCAGCAGGCTCCCAACTCAGACCAGGAAAGCGCAGTGGAACAGATACCGTGGCCCACCTTCCACCCCTCCTGTCTGGGTGCCGGTGGTGTCCTGCCAGCTCTGCTGCCGCTGCAGCCCGTGGGGGCCCCTCCTGCTCCCTAGGGTGTGCTTTCAATCACCTGAGCCCCTCCCCTTCCAATAAAGGCCTAGCCTCTGGGATTTGTCTTCACTTTGCTGCTAAAACCCAGAGCCCACTACCGGCAGGTAGCAGGTTTTGCATCATTGTTTGCTACTGAATTAAAGAGAACAGCTCTTTGGTGTGTTTCCGGGCTGGCTGCCACTTCCCAGCTCTGTTTTGGCAGGTTGGGATCTTCAGTCTCTCACATGTACCATCTAACTGGCAAGGTCAATGTGCCAACTAAAGGCAGCAGTCCAAGCACAGGCCTTTCTTAGGTACCAGGAGTGTGAGTGTAGCTGTTGTGTAATTACAGCCGTTCCTCTGTGACGTCCCTGGTGTCTTGGCGTTGATGCTGAGTCTGCCGCTGACCCTGGGGCACCTGTGGCAGCCGCCCACGCGCCCGCCCTCCGTCTCTGATCTGCTGTTCTCACAGGCAGGCTTCATTTGTTCCACGCAGTCATCTGCTTCCTTTAAACAGGTCGTTTTCAAAGCACCAGTATTTTGACTCCAGGGGGATGTTCATTTCTCTCGTGTTCTCGGCACCGCTGCTGCTCAACGCGATGGTCATTGTGGTAGGTATGCTGCAGAGTTACCTTCTTATTTTTCTTTGGATATATACTTCCGGTTCTTAAACATGTCTCCTACTGATTGTTTTAGATAATGTGGGTTCACAAGACTTTGAATGTGATGACTGAACTGAAGAACTTGCAGGTGAAAAGAAAGGAGAGGAAGAGGAGGAGAAAAGAGGAGTAACTGAGGAGCTGATTTCAATCTGGGTTAGGTTTTCCAGTGCCACACCAAACCACACATGGCGTGGGCCTCCTGTCAGCAGCTGGACTTGGGGCTCGGAAACTGGCTTTTCTGTTTGATGCCCACAGTGATGGAGCACCTGCAAAGCCGCCTCTTAACACCAGCGTGGATCTGTGTCTTCAGGATGTGTCTTTAGCTGTGTGGCCGAGCCTCAGGGCCTCATCATCTTCATGGTTAGGAACTGGAGTCACAAGAGCGCTCACTCGGTGTCCCGTGTGGGAGCTGACAGATACACAACCGTGCTTGGAGCGCCTTCACGCTGTGCCCACGGCAGGTCTGCCTCCCGGGCCGGCACTTGCTCTTCACTGGAGGGAGAGATGCTGCTGGAATTCCACAGGCACCGGTGGCCTCACAGCGGCTGTCTGCCCACGGTGTCAGCCATGCCCAGGCTGACTCCACGTCCTGTCCCTGTGAGGCAGGTGGGATTAAGTCAGGACTTGATTTTGTCCTCCTCACGTGGATTCGGGGCCCTGGCGGTCTCCACCCTGGCTTCGGTGGGTGCAGACTGACTGTTTCTTCCTCCGGTGTTGGTCTTTCTTCCTCCGCTGCGGGCCAAGGTACACTCAGCGGCACCTCTGCCACGTGCGCTTGGGACTTGAACCCGGGGCAGTAGCTGAGGATGACAGGGACTGGAGGCTCAAGCACAAATCGTGTTCAGTTAGGGAATGTTGCGGACCCTTAATTTTGGTGTAGAGCAATAATTTGTAACAGAACGTGAATAGGATTATTGTTCCTAGGTGAAACACTGTTCCAGGTGGTATAGGAAGTAGGCAGGTGGAAGTGTATTTGGAAGGTTAAAAGTCGGCAGTTTGGTACATTACAAAACGGCTGAGCCATGCGCGCATTTCTTTCTGTGTTTTTTGTGGTTTCAGCCTCTAGTGGGGACTGTTGATTGTAGAGATGAGTTGGTAGAACCTTCCTGATAGAGACACTGGAGCTTTTCACCTGAAATTTTTCCCAGCCCTTTCTTGATTTGTTTGCCTAGCCAGGCCCTGGATTCCATTCTCTCACATAATGGTGTTTAGTCAAATACTTTATTATTTATTTTTATTTTTTTTGCTAGACTTAGATCTTGAACTCTGGGCCTGGGCGTAGTCCCTGAGCTTCAATGCTCAAGACTTGCGCTCTGCCACTTGAGCCACAGTGTCACTGCTGGCTTCTTCTGAATCATTTACTGGAGATGAAAGTCTCATAGACATTACTGCCTGGGCTGTCTCGGAACCACAGTCCTCAGATCTCAGCCTCCTCAGTAGCTAGGATGACAGGTGTGAGCCACCAGCACCCAACCAGCCGTATACTTTATATCTGAGGGAATGTCTGATTGTGTTTCTGAAAATGACTAATTCTGGATGCTTTAATGTTACTAGTGCTTTGACAGTGTTGATTACATCACAGGTTAGAAGTATTTGAATAAACAAGTCTGGAATAGGAGGTTGAGGGGGTGTTGGGCTGCGTACCAGGTCTTCCCCTCCCGGCCTGGCAGCTGTGCGGGCATCGGCATGGCAGAAATGGAAGAACTGGGCAGGCGGCTGTGGGTGCCCTGCTCCACCTCTAGACAGTTTGTACGGTCTGTATTTGGGGCCATCTGCCTGAATTTACACACAGTATAACCACAACTTGGATATTCTGTGTGTGTGTGTGTGTGTGTGTGTGTGTGTGTGTTACAAACTATTCTTTTTTAAATGGAGTTTATTTGGTGACTGCCGTCTTCCTAGTCTCTTCTCCCTGTGTTCGGGAGGATCTGCAAGCCAGACCTGTCTCTCATAGTTTGTAAAACCAGAGCTGCTTTGAGAAATTTGCAAGAGTGTCCTGTTCTGTGTTCTGCTTAAATGCAGAAATGGTTTTGGTGTATTTATTTATAAACTAGAGGAAAGCAGACTGTTGTACGATGAAAAACATTTTGCACATTCCACATGTGATTATTATGCAATAAAACATGGATTGGTAAGTCACAGATGGGGTGTTGTGCCTGGAATCGTTCTCTGGCTGTGGCCCGTTGGCCTTCAGACCATGGCTGTCACACACCTCAAAATCCAGTGCGGTAGAAGAAAACTCAGGCCAGAGGTGTGTGGGCTGATGGTCATTTGCTGTGGGGGGGGAGGGGAAGGCTGAAGGCTCCCTGGACGTGCGTCCCCTCACCAGACATGCGTGGGGACAGCTGAGTTCACAGGTCTGCTGAGAGGTGGAGAAGCGGGGCCTTTGAGTCACGCTTGTGATGAGGGTTTTCCTGGGTGTGAAGCCGGTCCTTCCCCTGGGCAAGGCCTCAGGACGGTGGGCATGGAAGCCTGAAGCCGTGCCTGTCCTCAGCACAGGAGACAGCCTGTGAGTGGGGCAGAAGCTGAGCAGGGGGTGGTCACCGGGACACAGGACTCACAGTAACCCAGGGCCTGTGGGTGGCTCACCTGGGTGATCACATGCAGGGGACACAGGACTCACAGTGACCCAGGGCCTGTGGGTGGCTCACCTGGGTGATCACACACAGGGACACAGGACTCACAGTAACCCAGGGCCTGTGGGTGGCTCACCTGGGTGATCGACTGTCACCCAGGGACACAGGACTCACAGTAACCCAGGGCCTGTGGGTGGCTCACCTGGGTGATCACACACAGGGACACAGGACTCAGTAACCCAGGGCCTGTGGGTGGCTCACCTGGGTGGACTGTCACACTGGACACAGGACTCACAGTAACCCAGGGCCTGTGGGTGGCTCACCTGGGTGGACTGTCACCCAGGGACACAGGACTCACAGTAACCCAGGGCCTGTGGGTGGCTCACCTGGGTGGACTGTCACACTGGACACAGGACTCACAGTAACCCAGGGCCTGTGGGTGGCTCACCTGGGTGGACTGTCACCCAGGGACACAGGACTCACAGTAACCCAGGGCCTGTGGGTGGCTCACCTGGGTGATCACATGCAGGGGACACAGGACTCACAGTGAACCCAGGGCCTGTGGGTGGCTCACCTGGGTGGACTGTCACCCAGGGACACAGGACTCACAGTAACCCAGGGCCTGTGGGTGGCTCACCTGGGTGATCACACACAGGGACACAGGACTCAGTAACCCAGGGCCTGTGGGTGGCTCACCTGGGTGGACTGTCACACTGGACACAGGACTCACAGTGACCCAGGGCCTGTGGGTGGCTCGCCTGGGTGGGGTGGGGTGCGTTGCCACCAGGGGTCCGGCAGACTGCGGTCCAAGCCCGGTGTGTTGGGCTAGGTTCCGTCCATCCACTCATGTATGTGGTGGTCATGTGCATCCATGTGCTAGCGAGTTCGTCGTGGCCCACGCAGGTTTTCCTGGACTGAGTACTCTTCCATCTTAGAGATGCTTCAGCATTATTTCCGGAGAGCTGAGCAGGACCTGACAGGTGTGTCACTCTGGCGGTGGTGGGCACCCCTGGGAGCCCCCCTCTCCGGCCAGCTGCTGGACAGCAGAGCAGCCCCTCTTGCTGACGCCACTGCTTGAGGCGTAGCAGCTTGGTTCTCACAGGTTCTCATTACTGGAACCCTGGGAGGACCCACGCCGTTGGCTTCCTGATGGCCCATGGCCCTGCTTCAGGCTCCTTAGTCACCCCCCCCTCAGGCTGGCATCACCCAGCTCCTGAGTTCCCCCCATCCTCAGGCTGGCATCACCCAGCTCCTGAGTTCCCCCCATCCTCAGGCTGGCATTGCCCAGCTCCTGAGTCCCCCCATCCTCAGGCTGGCATCGCCCAGCTCCTGAGTCCCCCCACCCTCAGGCTGGCATCGCCCAGCTCCTGAGTCCCCCCACCCTCAGGCTGGCATCGCCCAGCTCCTGAGTCCCCCCTCCACCCTCAGGCTGGCATTGCCCAGCTCCTGAGTCCCCCCTCCACCCTCAGGCTGGCATCGCCCAGCTCCTGAGTCCCCCCACCCTCAGGCTGACATTGCCCGGCTGCTGGCCCCCGTTGGAGGGCCCTGGGTGAGTTCAGGGCACCTGTGTTGGGAAGGCAGAGGCAGGTCTGTGGACAGTGTCTAGAAGGGACCCTCGCCCCGGCCCTCGCATGCAGCCAGGTGGCATTGGGTCTGGCTGTGTGCTTGTCCTTAGCCGCTGCCCTTCCTGGCCGGCCCCGGTCTCACCGTGCTGTCATTCCAGGGTTTCTCCATGCGCTGTGCGGGGCCTCGGCTTTCCTCATCACCCCACCACTGCCCATGGCTGCGACCAGTCTCCTGCGTTGTGCTCTTTCTGCTGGTAGAGGAAACGGTGCCGCGGGCAGTGCCAGGCCACCGCCACAGGGACGCCATTCTCAGTCCTTCGTAATTATGTCAGCACTTCATAAAACACATGTCCAGGGACAGTCGACTCTACCAATTCCTGATGTCGAAGACAGTTTCCTGACTAAAAAGCAGTGCAGAAATCTGCAACCTTAGAAACATACTTTACCTTTCTGTTACTGATTTGAAATGAATGCCTACATGTGAATTCAACGTAAAACAGCTCTTTTCCGGTAGTTGGCAAGTGTAAAAGCACTGCTAACTCGGTTCCAGACATACCAGTGTCAGGTGTGCATGTGTCCTGAGCTGTATCTATGGTAAGTCGCCATCTTCTGATTGGAGGGTAAAAACCTTATTGATTATGTTGCATTTCCTTGGATGCCAGCGGAGCTTATTTAACATTTCTAAGTGATTATCAACATTGAACATTTTTGTGAATATTTATACACTTTGCTCTCTGTTTTGCAATATGACCTTTAGAAGTCTTTCTAATTTTACATGTCAAAAGTGACTATATATCTTTGAGTTTGGCCTTTCTTGAAGTTTAGGGTAGCGGTGGGTTGTGGGGTCGGGTGAGGGTCAGAGTGGGCCTGGGAGGGGCAGTGGGGTTAAAGTGGAGGGCCCCCTTGGAATCTCTGCCCAGAAACAGTTCTTGCTGAGAATGGACTCCAGGTTCTGAAGTACTGTAGATGTCCAGCGGCCAGGGCCCCAAGTGGTACACCACTTTACAGTGACAGCAAGAACACAATAATGCAGATGCAGATGGAGTCTGCACATTAGTCACGGCACGGATGTCAAGGTGCTCCTGAAGAGGAAAAACCCTGGAGAAGCACCAAGCTGGGAAGGAGAGACCCCAGGGGAGCCGCCACTCAGGGTGCCCGAGTGCGGCGGAGCCGAGGCCCGCAGAGGAAGGCTTTCAGCCTCCCTTCGTGATGAATAACAAGGAAATAAAATATGGCTCACTGGGACCCAGGTTCTGGTCCAGTGATTGTGTTTGGAGTTAGGTCAGTCTGGCTGCCTGAACATCTCAGAAACTTGACATTGGTGAAATTACTTTTCATTTCTTCTTGTTTTCAATAAAAGATCAAAAAATGTGGAACATGAAAATAGCTCAAGTAAATAACCTATGGTGCAACTAAAGCTGCCAGAAAAACAGGAACAAGCCAAACCCAAAGCCACCAGACAGAGAGAGTAAAGATTAGGGCAGAGATTGATGAACTAGAGACTAAAAACTATAGTTTTCTATCTTATGTATATAATTAAGAAAACAAAAAGCTGGATCTTTGAAAAAATTCAATAAAAGTGATAGGCCAGTAGTTGAGTTGAAGAGAAACTCAAATCAGCAAAATTAAGATGCCAAAGGAAACAACAAACATCCAAGAGACCCAACCAATAATGGACTACTTCCCAAACCTATACTCCAGATGGAAAATGGAGTAGAAATGGATACATTCCTAGAGACACACCAACTGCCTAAGATGAACCAAGAAGACAGCCCACTTAAACAAGCAATGAGATCGAGGAAGTGATCAGCAGTTCTCCAACAAGGAGAAGCCCAGGTCCACTAGGTCCACGGCTAGGTTCTAAGACTGTAACATTGAGGCTGGTGGTACTCAAACTTTTCTGTGAAATAGAAACAAAAGGGCCAGTTCCAAACCCATTCGATGCTGCCAAACACACTCAAAACCAGGCAGGGATCCAATAAAGAGAGCAATCCTGATGATACAGATCCAAGCTCTTCACGAAAATATTGGCCAGCAAATTCAGCTACTAATAAAAAAAAACATGCATTATAATCAAGTGAGTTTTATCCCAGAGATGCAAGGCTGGTTTAACATATGTAATTCAATAAATGTAACACCACTTCAGCAGAACCAAGGACAAAAACCATGTGGTCATCTCAAAAGATGCAGACAAAAACACCCAAATCCCACATGCATTTATGTTAAAAAGCTCTTGAGAAGCTG